GCATCAACTCCAACTGAGGAATACGTAGTGATAGATACAATAAATCTGAAATTAATATGTTAAATGAACTCAGGAGCCATGAGTCAACCCAAAGGCTGACCGAAATTCGTAAGATTTAATAATGAATTCTTGCATACTCCAGCGGCTTAAACTAGATAAGGAAAACTAGGATCTCATTTGTAGGATCAAATGGCGTGGCTAATGGTTGTAACATTTATAAAGTAAAGGTTAAGGGTAAAACGATAGAATATGTACGAGTCTTGATGTCTTTGCCATTCTCATTAATTCCTTGTTATTTACAATGCGTATTCATTCCTGTCTTCATGCCTAATTAAGAGACCAAAGCGTAGTCAACCTGCCAAATCTACAGACTTGGATCAAGAAGAAGAAATATTAATCCAAGAATAATGGGCAAAATCAAAGTAGCTAGCATATGCATAGAAAATTCATTTATAAATGGAATATGGAGAAGAAGAAAAGAGTTGATGGCTAAATGTCAACTGAGAATTCGCCCAAATCTGACCCATCCAGTTTGGTTCTTCATTGAGGCAGGAAGTAGCGAGTCCAGATAGAGCGTGAGTATGCATTGTCCAGTTTCTTGCCGGAAATAGAACGAAGGACAGTAGAAAAGCGAAGAGCATCTGAAAGAAATAAAAATTGAGCATTTCAAATTGATTCAGATAGGTAAGTAAATTTGTCTCTCATGACTTTCCTTACTCTTAGCTCCATACTTATATATCGATTTGTGACAGACTATTTACTGATTGACAAGTCAACTCGTGTATCCGTCTGTTTGTTAAACTAATTTTATAGTGGATGAATCATGAGCCGAGTCAGGATACTCATCCACGCACTTCAGATACTTTTTGTCTATCAATGCTCAAAAATCAGAGTGAATACAATTCATATAAATAAATAAATAAATATAAATATTTATATAAAGCATACTTGTCAGAACAAAACTGGTATATTTTCATAAAATAGCCTATTTGTGAATCTCACCTGGCAGCACATGAAATGAGGGAACCCT